CAAATTTAAGTAATATTTTTCTATTCTCATTTTACTTGACCTCTGTCAGTATTTGCATTAGAAGGCTACTATCTCTTTCTTTTCTTTTCATTGATTAAAGAATGCACATTTTATTATTCTTAAGTCCAAAAATAGAATATCTGTTACCTTATTACAGTTTTGATTTTTTTTTCTCACCAAATCAAATTTTATTCCATCAAGGCAGACACTGGTAAGTAGATAGGTATTTATCGTAACAGTTGGTTGTAGAAAAGTTTACTATGTTCACCCTCTTTAATTTAAATTCAATTAATAACATATAGTGCACTATTAGTTTCAGAGGTAGAGTTCAATGATTCATCAGTCTTATATAATACCCAGTGCTCATCACATCACATGCCTTACCCACTGTCCATCACCCAGTTAACCCACCCACCCCCACCCCTCCAGCAACTTCAATTTGTTTCCTATGATTAAGAGTCTCTTATGGTTTGTCTCCCTCTCTGATTTTGTCTTGTTTTATTTTTTCCTTTCTTCCCCTTTGATCCTGTTTTGTTTCTTAAATTCCACATAGGAGTGAGATCATACGATAATTGTCTTTCTCTGACTTATTTCACTTAGTATAATACCCTCTAGTTCCATCCACATCATTGCAAATGGCAAGATTTCATTTTTTTTTTGATGGCTGAGTAATATTCCATGGTATACATATACCACACCTTCTGAATCCATTCATCTGTTGATGGACATCTGGGCTCTTTCCATAGTTTGGCTATTGTGGACGTTGCTGCTATCAACATTGGGGTGCAGGTGCGCCTTCGGATTACCACATTTGTATCTTTGGGGTAAATACCCAGTAGTGCAATTGCTGGGCCATAGGGTAGCTCTATTTTCAACTTTTTGAGGAACCTCCATACTGTTTTCCAGACTGGCTGCACCAGCTTGCATTCCCACCCACAGTGTAGGAGGGTTCCCCTTTCTCCACATCCTCACCAACATCTGTCATTTCCTGACTTGTTAATTTTAGCCATTCTGACTGGTGTGAGGTGGTATCTCATTGTGGTTTTGATTTGTATTTCCCTGATGCCGAGTGATGTTGAGCACTTTTTCATGTGTCTTTTGGTCATTTGGATGTCTTCTTTGCAGAAATGTCTGTTCATGTCTTCTGCCCATTTCTTGATTGGATCATTTGTTCTTTGGGTATTAAGTTTAAGTTCTTTATAAATTTTGGATACTAGCCCTTTATCTGATATGCCATTTGCACATATCTTCTCCCATTCCATAGGTTTCCTTTTAGTTTGTTGACTTTTTCCCTTGCTGTGCAGAAGCTTTTTATCTTCATGACGTCCCAATAGTTCATTTTTGCTTTTGTTTCCCTTGCCTTTTGCGATGTGTCTAGCAAGAAGTTGCTGCAGCTGAGGTCGAAGAGGTTGCAGCCTGTATTCTCCTCAAGGATTTTGATGGATTCCTGTCTCATATTTCAGTTTTTCATCCATTTCGAGTCTATTTTTGTGTGTGATGTAAGAAAGTGGTCCAGTTTCATTCCTTTGCATGTGGCTGTCCAATTTTCCCAACACCATTTGTTGAAGAGGCTATCTTTTTTCCATTGGATATTCTTTCCTGCTTTGTCAAAGATTAGTTGACCATAGAGTTGAGGGGCCATTTCTGGGTTTTCTATTCTGTTCCATTGATCTATTTGTTTTTGTGCCAATACCATACTGTCTTGATGATTATAGCTTTGTAATAGAGCTTGAACTCTGGAATTGTGATACCATCAGTTTTAGTTTTATTTTTCAACATTCCTTTGGCTATTTGGGGTCTTTTCTGGTTCCATACACATTTTAGGATCATTTGTTCCAGCTCTGTAAAAAAAAAATTGATGGTATTTTGATAGGGATTGCACTGAATGTGTCGATTGCTCTAGGTAGCATAGACACTTTAATAGTATTTGTTCTTTCAGTCCATGAGCATGGCAGGTTTTTCCATTTCTTTGTGTCTTCCTCAGTTTTTTTCATGAGTCTTTTATAGTATTCTGAGTACAGATCCTTTACCTCTTTGGTTAGATTTATTCCTTAGGTATCTCATGGTTTTTGGTGCAATTGTAAATGGGATCGACTCCTTAATTTCTCTTTGTTCTGTCTCAGTGTATAGAGATGCAACTGATCTCTGTGCATTGATTTTATATCCTGCCACTTTGCTGAATGCCTGTATGAATTCTAGCAATTTTGGGGTGGGGTCTTTTGGGTTTTCCACATAGAGAATCATGTCATCTGCAAAGAATGAGAGTTTGACTACTTCTTTGCCAATTGGGATGCCTTTTATTTCTCTTTGTTGGCTGATTGCTGAGGCTAGGACTTCGAGTAGTATGTTGAACATCAGTGGTAATAGTGGACATCCCTGCCATATTCCTGACCTTGGGGGAAAGCTGTCAGTTTTTGCCCATTGAGAATGCTATTTGCTGTGGGCTTTTTATATATGGCTTTTATGATGATGAGGTATGTCCCCTCTATCCCTACTATGGGAGTTTTAATCAAGAAAGTATGCTGTACTTTGTCAAATGCTTTTCCTGCATCTATTGAGAGGATCGTGTGGTTCTTGTCCTTTATTTTATTGATGTATTGTATCCACATTGATTTTGCAGATGTTAAACCACCCTTCCAGCCCAGGAATAAATCCCATTTGGTCGTGATGAATAATCCTTTTAATGTACTCTTTCTTGAAATGCCTTTATTCTTGGTGCACACTCTAATTTTGTGAGTTTACTTTCCATTGTGTAGTACTCTTATTTATCCTTTTCTATTAAACCTCTAAAATATTGGAGTTTTCTTTTCAGGGCTTGATATTAGATATTCTTTTTCTAAATTCCATCTGTATGCTATTAATCCCCAAATTATGTCTCTAATATAGCCACTGGACATTTCCACCTGGATGTCTTATACACATCTTATCATTTAACTGGCTCACAGTTAAATACTGATATTCCTCAGATTATTCCGTATAACAGAAAATGCTACTAATACACAGTTATTCAAGCCAGAATAGTAGAAGTTGTCCTTGATTCCTTCCTTCCTCTGATTCTTTCTCACATTCTGTTCCATAGTAAGTCATTTGTATTCAACCCTCAATTTGTTTTTGCAGTTATCCTAGGTCAGGCTACCATCTTCTTATTCCCTGTGATCCTGATTATTCTGTGTGGTCTATAATAGCAAAGGCAGTATTTTAAAAATAAACTAGAATACATCATTAGCCTACTTAAAGCCTCTCTTTAGCTTCCCATGTTAAAATGAAGTCTGAATTCCTACTATGGCTCTTTGTGATCTGGTATTTGCCCAATTCTCCATTCTCATCTTGAGCTACTTTCTTCTCATTCCCTGGTTTTCCCTACTGATTGTCTCAAAATACATTTTTACTGCCACCCCATTCTCTGACTGGCTACTTCTTATCTTTATGGTAACATCTTAATTGGTACCTCTTCAGAGAGGCCTACTTGGCTTATCTTCTTTATAGTAGGTCTCTGCCTTAATTTAGTCAGCACCCTATTTATTTCCATTCTAGCAGTCAACATCACTTGTAATCAATTTGATTGTTTTTTTTTTCTATTTCTTACACTAGACAGTGTGCTCACCAAGGACAGAAACTGTGTCTATCTTGTTCATTATTGTGCTCTAGCACCTAGAAAGGTGGCTTGATACATAATGGCATGCAATAGATGTTCATGGGGTCCTCTTACATTCCAAGTTATGTATTAGGCACAAGAGATATTGTAGAGATTGAAACAAAAAGTTCCCTTCCCCTCTCAGAGCTTTTTTTTTTTTTTTTTAAGATTTTATTTATTTATTTGACAGAGAGAGACACAGCGAGAGAGGGAATACAAGCAGGGGGAGTGGAAGAGGGAGAAGCAGGCTCCACGCAGAGCAGGGAGCCCGATGCGGGACTCGATCCCAGGACCCTGGGATCATGACCTGAGCCGAAGGCAGTCGCTTAACCGACTGAGCCACCCAGGCGCCCCCCTCTCAGAGCTTTTTGTTCTAGTTCAGGAAATTAGTAAAATTAAGTAAATGTGAGTATTCCTCATTATACTTAGCCGTGTTTAGCTCCTGAGTTCAAAGAGCCACAGTTGGGATATCAAAAGATACGAGGTTATCTCAATCTATTTGGTTCCTAAGTTTTAATTTGTGGATAATGAGAACTCAGAGATTGAGGAATACAAGCCCCCTTTTTTTTTTTTAAGATTTTATTTATTTATTTGACACATAGAGTGAGAAAGAGAGCACAAGCAGGGGGAGTGGCAGGCAGAGGGAGAGGGAGAAGCAGGCTCCCGCTGAGCCTGATGTGGGGCTCAATCCCAGGACCCTGGGACCATGACCTGAGCCAAAGGCAGATGCTTAACCGATTGAGCCATCCAGGCGCCCCAACCCTGTCTTAAAATATATTCAAACCTTTTTGGTTCCTGAGTTTGTTAAGCAAGAATTCGGAGAGTCGGGGATACCTATATGCTGCATGTCAAATGTGATAATGGCAGGAAAAAAGTAAGAATAAGAGAACAAAGGAGTGGGGTTGAAAGACAGTTGTTTTACATAGGATGGCCTGAGAAGGTAACATTTCAGTAAAGGTATGAAGGGAATTTGGAGTGAGCCATGAGGATATCTCCTTCCAGGCAGAGAGAATAGTCTGCTTCTGCTTACCAAATTTGAGGATTTGTGGCAGGCCAGTAGGCTGAAGTGAAATAAGTGAAGGGGGCAATGATAGGAAGTAAGGTTGAAGGAGGGTGGTGGGAGGGTGGAGGGCACATAGAGAGGTCATGCAGGTCCTTACAAAGCATTGTAGGTTTGAAGTCTCCAATATTATATCTAAACTGCTCTGACAACTGTTAGCAAGTGTGTGGGGGAGGGTTTCAAAGGGGAATGGGAGTATATTGTGCTTATATTGCTAAAAAGCTGAACTAAATGAATTAAAATAGAATATTAAGAAAAATAGTTTATATTTTACTCACATATTGACTCTGGTTCACACATTACTAGGCATTCAACATAATGTAGCAGTTTCTTCTGTTAAAGAAAAACAATCCCCCAAAGCACTAGAAAAAGTATTTAAGCCACAAGTGATTCCCTCTGTATTTCCTGAGACATCAGTTTCTCCTTCAAACATGGCACAAGATACTCCACTCAACTCTGCCTCACAAACAGTGGCCCAAGTAAGTTCACTGTAGCTTTAAAATGTTTTAATGTAAGGAGTTGTTGTGATGACTAAACCTTTTTTTTAAGTTGATATGAAAAACAATTGGGCTTCAGCTTACCACAGTTAATCTTTTTGTCTGTGTACATTTTGTAACAGAGACCTAGGATGTGAACCAAATTTTAGAGACTTCTTGGTAGAATTTGAACTGGTTTACTGTATTTTTAGTGTTAATATCAGTTGCCCAACTATCCATTCTGTGTGTTATATAACTTCTTTTGGGTTGATAATTAAAATTGTATACCATAGCTGATTTCGGGTATTCAGAAACTTGAATAACTTGATATAAAAAATTATATCTTTATTTATCTCAAAGGTTTACACAAAACAATTCTTTGGATATTAGGAAGAAAATACTTGAACTATTTATTTTACCTATAAAAGAGAAATTAACCTTTACTAATATTTAATAAAAGGAAGACTTGGTGCTGCTAAGTTTGAAAACTTGCTCTGAATGTCCCCTTAATTATAGTTTTTGTTGTTGTTGAATTGTTTCAGGTTACAAGGGGTGTGAAGAGGAAAGCAGATACCACAACTCCTACAACTTCAGTAGTTAAAGCAAGTGGTGAATCTTCCCCAATGCTTGCAGAAAAACAATCAGTGAAAATGCCACCTATAAAAGAAAATGTGCTGAAGACTGTTTTGCCAGATTCTCAGCAACAATGTAAAGTTGTAAAGAATGTTAAAGTGACTGAACAGTTACGGCACTGTAGTGAGATTCTTAAAGAAATGCTTGCAAAGAAACACTTATCCTATGCGTGGCCCTTTTATAATCCTGTTGATGTTAATGCTTTGGGGCTCCATAACTACTATGATATTGTGAAAAATCCAATGGATCTTGGTACTATTAAGGTAAATGTTGTCCTAATAAGAGAAAGTCCTTTTCTTGATTATAAAAGTAATCTTGTCATTGTAAAAATTGTTTTAATTCAGAAAAAGATAATGAAGAAGTTTAAAATCATTAGTAAGTCGTATCACCTGGGATGAATCATGGGAAAATTTTTAAACATCTTTCTTTTTCTTCTATTCAAACATACCCATTGTTCTTTCCCACAATGTTTGAGTGACAGTATGTAATATAACTCTGTACCCTGAATTTTCACTTACTATGTTGTAAACATTTTTCTCATTATATATTCAAGATTATATATATATATATATATTTTTTTTTAAGATTTTATTTATTTATTTGACAGAGAGAGAGACAGCAAGAGCAGGAACACAAGCAGGGGGAGTGGAAGAGGGAGAAGCAGGCTTTCCGCCGAGCAGAGAGCCCGATGTGGGACTCGATCCCAGGACCCTGGGATCATGACCTGAGCCAAAGGCAGACGCTTAACGACTGAGCCACCCAGGCGCCCTCAAGATTATATTTTTAATGCATAATTCTGATGCAATTTTTTGCGGGGGATAAGGCATTTATATAGTTTCCAAACCTCTCTACACTTTTTTTGGGGGGGGTCTTCTGCTGGCGTGGTCAGGTCTTTTAAATTACTATTTTTTAAATTTTTTTCCAAGTAAACCCTACCCCCAGTGTGGGACTCGAACTCATGACCCCTAAGATCAAGATTCAAATGCTCTACCAACTGAACCAGCCAGGCAGCCCTTAATTTTTAATCGAAGTATAGTTGACATACAATGTTTATATGATTAAGGTGTACAACACAATGATTGACAGTTCTATATTTTATGCAGTACTCACCATGAAAGTGTAGTTACCATCTGTCACCATACAATGTTATTACAGTATTATTGATTATATATTCCCTGTTCTATAATTTTCATCCCCATGGCTTATTTATTTTGTAAGTAGAAGTTTGTACCTCTTAATCCCCTTTACCTATTTCTTTCATCTCCCTCTCCCTCCCTTGCAACCATCAGTTTGTTCTCAGTACTTATTAGACAGTTTCTGTGTGTATGTGTGTTTGTTTTGTTTTTTAGATTCCATATACAAGGGAGATGATATAGTATTTGTCTTCTTCTGTCTTATTTCACTTAGCATAATACCCTCTAGGTCAAACCATGTTGTTGCAGGTGACAAGATCTCATCCTTTTTTATGGCTGAGTAATATTTCACTTGGGGGGGTGTGTGTGTGTGTGTGTGTGTGTGTGTGTGTGTGTGTGTGTGACATCTTTATCCATTCATCTATTGATGGACTCTGAGGTTGCTTCCATACCTTGGCTGTTGTAAGTAATACTGCAATATACTTACATATATTTTTTTTGAATTAGTGTTTTTGTTTTCTTATATGAATTATTTATGTATCTTGGATATTAACCCTGTATCAGATATATAATTTGTGCATCTTTTGTCCCATTCAGTTGGTTGCCTTTTTTTTTTTTTTTTTAAGATTTTATTTATTTATTTGAGAGAGAGAATGAGATAGAGAGCATGAGAGGGGGGAGGGTCAGAGAGAGGCAGACTCCCTGCTGAGCAGGGAGCCCGATGCGGGACTCGATCCCGGGACTCCAGGATCATGACCTGAGCCGAAGGCAGTCGCTTAACCAACTGAGCCACCCAGGCGCCCCCAGTTGGTTGCCTTTTTGTTTTCTGATATTCTTCACTGTGCAAAAGCTTTTTTGTCTGATGTACTTTATTTTTGCTTTTGTTTCCCTGGCCTGAGGGGGAAATGTTGCTAAGGCCCATGTTCAGGAGATTACTACCTGTGTTTTCTTCTAGTTTTATGGTTTTTATGTTTCATTTAGGTCTTTAATCCATTTTGAATTTATTTTTATATATAGTTTAAGAAGGTGGCTCAGTTTTCCTTCTTCTGCACATTAACTGTCTAGTTTTGCAGCACCATTTGAAGAGACTGTCTAGTCCCCATTGTATTTTTGCCTCCTTTGTCATAGGTTAACTGACCATATAAGTGTTGATTTATTTCTGGGCTCTCTGTCCTGTTCTGCTGATGTATCAGTCTGTTTTTATGCCAGTACCACACTGTTTTGATTACTGTAGATTTGTAATGTATATCTTGAAATCTGGGATTGCAGTACCTCTAGTTATGTTCTTAAGATTGCTTTGGTGATTCAAGGTCTTTGTGGTTCCTTAACAATTTTAGGATTATTTGTCCTAGGTCTATGAGAACTACTATTGGTATTTTCATAGGGATTGCATTAAATCTGTAGATTGCTTTGGGTGGCATGGACATTTTAACTGTTCTTCCAGTTCATGAGCATGGTTTATCTTTCCATTTATGTCTTCACTTGTTTTTCATCAGTGTCTTATAATTTTCAGAGTTACAGGTCTTTTATTCTCTTGGTTAGATTCATTCCTAGGTTTATTTTTGTTTTTGCTGCTGCTTCTTGTCTGATTGCTGCAGCTAGAATTTTTAGTACTATGTTGAGTAAAAGTGGTGAGCATGGACATCCTTGTTCTTGGTCTTAGAAGAAAAGCTTTCAGTTTTTCACCATTGAGTATGATGTTAGCTGGGTTTTTCATATATGGCATTTATTATACTGAGGTATATTCCCTTCAAAATACACTGTTGAGAGTTTTATCATGAACAGATTTGAATTCTGTCAGATTTTTTTCTGCATTTATTGAGATGACTGTATGGCTTTTATCCTTCATTTTGTTCATGTGTTGTATCCCATTGATTGATTTGCAGATATTGAATCATCCTTGCATTCCTGGGATAAATCCCACTTGATTATGGTGAATGAATTCTGCTTATATTTTGTTGAGGATTTTTACATCTATGTTCATCAGGGATATTGACCTGTAATTTTTTTTAATTTTTGTAGTGTCTTTGTTCTTTTGGTATCAGGGTGATGCTGGCCTCATAGAAGGAATTTGGAAGTTTTTCTTCCTTTTCAATTTTTTTTTTTAATAGTTTGAGGAAGTTAGGTATTAACTCTTTAAATGTTTGGTAGGATTCACTTGTGAAGCCATGTGGTCCTCAACTTCTGTTTCTTGGGAGTTTTTGATTACTTATTTAATTCCATTACTAGTAATTGGTCTGTTCAGATTTTCTATTTCATCATGACTTAGTCTTCGAAAATTGTATGTTTCTGGGAATTTATCCATTTCTTCTAGGTTATCTTAATTTGTTGTCCTATTATTATTATTTTTTTAAAGATTTTATTTATTTATTTGTCAGAGAGAGACGGAACACAAGCAGGGGGAGTAGGAGAGGGAGAAGCAGGCTTCCCGCTGAGCAGGGAGCCTGATGCGGGGCTCGGTCCCAGGACCCTGGGATCATGACCTGAGCCGAAGGCAGACGCTTCACCGACTGAGCCACCCAGGCACCCTCCTATTATTTTTTTGTAATAGTCTCTTATCCTTTGTATTTCTGTGGTTCAGTTGTTACTTCTCTTTCATTTCTGATTTTGAGTCCTCTCTTTTTTTGATGTGTCTGGTTCAAGGTTTATCAGTTTTGTTTTATTTTTTCAAAGGATTGGCTCTCGGTTTCATTGGTCTTTTCTATTGTTTTTTTTTTTTAGACTCTTTATTTCAGCTCTGATCTTTATTATTTCCTTCCTTTTACCAATTCTGTTCAATTTTAAATGTCTTTTCATTTTGAGGAAAATTTTAATAAAAACCTTTATTTAAATCAAGGTTGGTTTAAGGACTTTATCTTTTCATTGCTTTCCTAGAATCATACTTGTCTAAGATTATCTGGAAATGCACTGTTTTCCTGCTTCTGTGATTTTGTTCCTGTTCTTTTTTTTTTTTTTTACTCTTGGAATATCCTCCTTATCTCTACTTGTCAAAATTCATTGGATATTTTCAAAGTCAAAAAATACAAAACAAATATAGCAGAATTTTAACAATTATCAAATTTGGAGGGTGGGTATCTGGTTTTGGTATTACCTGTGTTCTTCTGTATGTTTCAACTATTTCATAATATAAATAATATAAATGCTCAAATGATTATTAAACTATGTTGTTTGTGAATCCTATAATTTTTCCTTAATTTAGGGAAAAATGGACAACCAAGAATATAAAGATGCATATGAATTTGCTGCAGATGTTAGATTAATGTTCATGAATTGCTACAAATACAATCCTCCAGATCATGAAGTAGTGACAATGGCAAGAATGCTCCAGGTAACTTGATAGGTGTGCTCTGAAAGTGAGTTTTCTCTGAACATAATTTGGAAATTTTATTTTATTTTTTTAAAAGATTTTATTTATTTGAGAGAATGAAAATGAGAGAGATCACAGAGGGAGAGGGAGAAGCAGACCCACCACAAAGCAGAGAGCCCGATGCAGGGCTTAATCCGAGGACCCTGAGATCCTGACCTGAGCTGAAGGCAGATGCTTAACTGACTGAGCCACCCAGGCACCCCTAGTTTGGAAATTTTAGAACCACAACTCAAAAGATAAAGAATGCCCACTTCCCAAATATAAAGCACAATTTATTAAGTAAATTGACTCTTAAAATGTAGGGGTTGTTTTTGAGGTAGAGCACACATTAGTAGCAAATCTTTTAAGGAGGCTGCCTTACACATAGAGGATATTGGGGAAATATTAGTGAAGAGGGGATAGTAGATAGCTGAGATATGATTGACTAGAGCCCATATGCCCCTGAAGGTTAAGTTCTAGGACTTTTGAGTGGAATGTAGTAGAGAGGTGGAGTGGAATGTAATGGAGTGGGAGGTAGTGAAATGATGCATCATAGGGCAGGAGATCCTTGAAAGAAGGTCCTCTATACAACTTGAGAGGTCTATCTTACGTGGAAGAGAGGAGAAAAGTTCTAAGGTTGGCAGGCAAGGAAGCATTAATCTTATGTTTCTTCTTTGGTAAATCCGCCCCCCCCCCATTTTATAGAGATAAAATGGACATAAAACATTGTGTAAGTTTAAGGATATTAACATAATGATTTGATGTATATATTCTGTAATGATTACCTCAATGAAAAATAGAGTTATCAAAATATGACACTTTTGTCGAAGGGTGTTATTGCTATATTAAGTTGGAAATACAGAAAATCTTTTATAGTCTAATCTTCCATTATAGGATGTTTTTGAAATGCATTTTGCGAAAATCCCAGATGAACCTGTTGAGAGTATGCCCGTCTGCTACATCAAAACAGATACCACAAAAATCCTTGGTAGAGAAAGCAGTAGTGAAGCTTCGTCTGAAGAAAACTCTTCTGGTGATTCTGAAGATGAACGAGTTCAACGTCTTGCAAAGCTTCAGGAGCAGGTAGTTGATTGTATTGATAAAAGTTTTTGTATTTTCATGAGTTGTTGCTGCAGATCTATTATAAAATCGTTTTTGTAGATTAAAAGCTGTTACATTTAGATCACTTTACAACTGTGGCTTTATTTACTTCTTGGCACATTTGTAATGTTTAATAGTCTTTCTTACCCAAAGATCTATGTTTCTTAAAATCCTGTTATCATTCTAACCACAATGAGTTTATTCTCGTTGAAATGAATTATATGACATAATCCAAGATATTTTATGGATGAGTTTTTGTTCAACATTGTTACCTTTTATGATAAAATGTTAAGCTGCTCCTAGCTCAAGCCTGAAAAAAAACAATTAGAAAGTTGAGATTAGGGCCCCTGGGTGGCTCAGTCATTAAGCGTCTGCCTTCGGCTCAGGTCATGATCCCAGGGTCCTGGGATCGAGCCCCACATTGGGCTCCCTGCTCAGCGGGAGGCCTGCTTCTCCCTCTCCCACTCCCCCTGCTTGTGTTCCCTCTCTCGCTGTCTCTCCCTCTGTCAAATAAATAAAATCTTTAAAAAAAAAAAAAAAAAGTTGAGATTACCTGGAAATGTTAATTTTCATGGTCTGTTTTTAGTTGAATATCTAAGTTTATGAGTTGAGCACATGATAGTATTTCTGATTTAATGTATGCCCTTCAAAATAATGAATTTATGGAATGAAATAAGAACTTAAAGGAAATGTAATATGAAATGAATTTCAGAAGGATAGGCTTGACTTGAGTGCCTTCATTTTTTTCCTAACGTGTTTAATTATTTAGAGCCATGAATGTTCAAAGAATTTTTTTCTTTATTAGCTGAAAGCTGTTCATCAACAGCTACAGGTTCTCTCCCAAGTCCCTCTCCATAAGCTAAAGAAAAAGAGTAAGTCTAAAAGGGAAAAGAAGAAAGAAAAGGCTAATAACAGAGATGAAAATCCAAGAAAAAAGTTTAAGCAAGTGAAATTAAAGGGAAAGTCCAAAAACAAGTAAGTATCTTTTATAATACCTTATTCATATAATAATATTATCTAACATAAATTTGACTAAATTTAATTTTTGTTCAGTCAGCCAAAGAAGAGGAGGAAACAACAGGTGTTTGCTCTGAAACCTGAAGTTGAGGGTAATGCTAAGCCTATGAACTATGATGAGAAAAGGCAGCTAAGCTTGGATATAAACAAACTCCCTGGAGAAAAACTTGGGCGAGTCGTTCATATAATACATTCAAGAGAGCCATCTCTGAGAAATTCCAACCCTGACGAGATAGAGATAGACTTTGAAACACTGAAAGCATCAACACTGAGAGAACTGGAAAAGTATGTTGCCGCATGTCTGCGAAAAAGACCGCTAAAACCTCATGGTACGTATTTCTCACAGTAGAAATCAGTCTGCTATTTGCGTTAGTTTTTGGTAATACTTCTTTCCCTCTTAAATCACATAGGTAAGAAAATAACAAAGTCCAAAGAAGAATTTCATTCACAGAAAAAACAGGAGTTGGAAAAGCGGTTGCTGGATGTCAATAATCAATTAAATTCTAGAAAATGTCAAACAAAACGTAGGTGGCAGTTTCTTATGTGTTTTGTTTGTTCGGTTTTGTTTTGTTTTTTGATGTTCCTGTGCTACTGAATTCGACGGGCAGTGTAATGTGCTTCCCCGTTTTGTAGCTGAGAAAGCGCAGCCCCCCCCGGCTGTTGGCAGTGGTTCCCGGCTGAGCGAGAGCAGCAGCAGCAGCGGGGGCGGCAGCAGCAGCTCCTCGGAGGCCGAGAGCCGTAGCAGCGAGTCAGGCTCGTCCGGCAGCAGTGATTCCGAATCAGGTTAGCTGTCCCCTTAAGTCTACTTCTGTCGGCGGGAACATTTTTTCCTTGTAGTATTGAGACTTCTTTTTTTTAAGAAATGTTGTCCCTCACCCAGAACCTATGGTTTGGATGCCATGCTTATTATTTAATTGCGTGTTGACAATCTTACTGTTTTCTTTAAAAGAGATACTGTGTAAAATGAAACTTCATATTATATGTATAAGACTTACAGGTTTGTAATGTTGAGAAGTTTACTAAAGGTGGGAGATCGTTTCTTAATATATAATACCACATCTTAATACGAGAAAATAACAAATAATAAAAGTCCGATCTTCACTTCTTTTTATAAAATTTAAAAAATATTTGAGGACATCCTTCACTTTACTCTCCATGATCTGTCAGACCAACTCTAATGTTGCAAAGTATGTCCTATTGCGACGATACATTCTAAATTGAATAATCACTTGGAATTAAGAAACCAGTCATCCCAGAAAATGTTTAAAGCAGAATTTTATTCACTTTTGTTTTCTTCATTATAGAATATTATTTTCCATTTCTAGAAGAATGTACTTCAAATTGAGATTTTCAGTTATGCTGAAGTACCATATTACCTTGGGTGGTTTAGCATCAGCTGTATCAAGCTTAATTCAGTCATGTTTTCTTTGTGCTCTTTCATTGATGGTTATGTAGTTAACAAGTAATCACTGCCCCAAGGATACTGACTTGGCAGTGGCATCCCACTATTGTCCACCAAAAGGCACATTCAGAATATCAGGCACTTTTGTGCCTAAAATTTTGCTTTATTTTAAATTAGATGTTTTCTGTTCGTCATGAAATTTAGTTCTCTTTTAAAAAAATATCCTGCACAGAATATTGTCAAATCAGTGACTCTTACCATTTGTAAGAATATCCCTCTTATTTCAGTCTGGTAGTAAGGGTCTGCTGGCTTGCAGTACATTCTGGTTCACTTTTGGTTCTGTTTAGTTTGCATTTATGTGGTGCTGATTGTTGCATTTTGTTTTTACATTTCTAAAGTAAAATTTTTGTTATAATAAAAAATTTTTACTTTTGTTGGAATTTGTCATAGTAAATTTTTAAATTATTTTTGGGCTCTGATTATACATTATTTCCTTATATTTGACTTTAAAGCATAAAACAATGCTGGAAAAGTATTTTAAATTGTAATTAGCATTTGTAATTTCATCTAATAAAGCATTTGTGGCCTAATAAGTTAGAGCACTTTGTCTTTTATTTGTAGGATAAAACTGAGTTATCCAATTATGTATTGGCTACTGATCAATAAATGCCTTGAGCATTAGTGGAAAAGTACTCTATACAGAGTGCTTCAATAGAGGTATTCAAAAATACCTTAATTTTAATTTGAATTATCAATTTCTGATAGATTCTTCCAATACATTGCTTGAAGGAAAGATGTTTATCATCTACTATGTGTTCTTAAAGTGGCGTAATATATGTTTTCCTGACTTTCTAGTGGAATAACTTGGCCTCAGAAATATAATTTTTTTAACACATTTGTGTTGAATTTTTATTTTATGACTGGCGTTCTTGTTTAATGTCATCTTTTTCAATAACAGGGACTGTTTTTGAAAACACTGTTAAAAAATCAAAGCAACACATTTTTATATTTCAACTTACCTTATGGATAGTGTATAGGTTTGTGGTGCTAAGGTCAGTTTGTCTTCTAACATGGTAGTATGGGTTAGCATTTTTCTTTGAAAATTTTGTTTTATAAACTTTGAAACTATGTACTTGATTCAAGAAACACTATATGTACAATGTGCAGTTATAAATTGCAAACACAATGGCTACCTTAAATGAGCATTAAGTTCTGTTTGGATTTTTTTGTTTATTTTACTTGTTTAACAAAATAAATTAGTGAAGCAATAGGACCTTTGTCCTAAATATTAACTTTAATTGTATGCATTAAAATAATGTAAGGCTTTTAATTTTTAGTGTGTAATCTAAGAACATTTCTCACTTGAACAACAAAAACCCTAAATAAAAGGATTGTAAATTATGAAAATAATTGTCAGACCATATCAGTAGCGGCACTTAAGTAAAAATAATACCATCCTTAAGTATGTACATGACATTCTCAAGGAGCAGATGACGAATCCCAAGTATGTATAAGTCTCAGGGTGGAGGGAAATGGAATTACTGAGAAAATACAATTTGTGAAAATTAGGAATATTAGCAAAAACTTTATCTGTTATATAAGTAAAAATTAACTGAAAATATACATAAAATTTTGTAGCTTTAAAGTTTATTATGATTTGCCCAGAACTGAAACTTACGGTTGGAAAATCTTCATTACCATAACTCTGGTTAATGAGGCTTTTGATTATTCAAGATAGGAGATAAGAATATAAGTTCATTTCTTCAAAATGTTAATAGAGGAAGCTTCTCTGAAAGCTTTTGTGAGAAATTCTTTCCTGATAGAAGGATATTGACCTTTAGCAATTTTTTCTTAATCTGTTTTTTTAATACCTGCCTTTTGGAATTTTTATAGCAGTTTGATTGTATGCAGTTTTCTAAGCAAGTCATAATCTTTTGTAATTTTGGTTATCAAGGATAAAGCTCTATATTAACTTTTCTTAATTCCCTAGTATTATTGAGTCATATGGTTCTTCAGTTATCCTATATTATGAGTTGGTCTGTCTTTACTGCAGTAGCATTCTGTTCAGATGTGTGAAATGGGTGTGCAAAATGTTTGAAAGGTAACATCTGTGAAAAACATTTAAGTGTTGTAAATTGTGTTACAGTTGTTCATTCTACATTATTTAAATGATTATCTTCTCTGTATTCTCAAACCTTATTTTATGCACTTTTGAAAAATACAGACTTAATTCTCCTTTATCAAATAGGATTAATAAAATGGCAGAGCTATGATTTCCAGGGAAAGTTTGACTTAAAAATTCTTTAACATTTCAAACAAGGTATTAAATTAGTTCCAAAATAGAGTTGGAATGAAATCTCAAATCTTTGAAAAATATAAATGAGCTATCTGGGGTAGAAGCAGTACTTGATTGCAGATGTGTTGTAATTTGGCTTTATCATTTAAATTATTTTCTTGGGTGCCTGGGTGGCTCGGATGGTTAAGCGTCTGCCTTTGGCTCAGGTCATGATCCCAGGGTCCTGGGATCGAGTCCCGCATTGGGTTCCCTGCTCAGCAGGGAGCCTGCTTCTCCCTCTGCCTCTCTCTCTCTCTGTCTCTTATGAATAAATAAAATCTTTAAAAAAATGAATAAATAAATAACTTTCTTGACTGACAACAGTATATGGAAATTGTCATGTGTAGATTAGTCAAGAACATTTATTAAACATTGGTATAAATACAAAGCTTTCCTAAATTATTTTTCATAACTATCAAAATATCACCAAATGTCAGATCAAAGATGTTAATGAGGTTTAACAATAAAATGAATTCCAGATGCGTCTTATATGCTGTTAGCTGGGCTCTGCCTAGTTACATGCACATAACCTGTTGAGAGTTTTCTAATGTTCAACAACTATGGCTATCTTGAGTGTTATAATAGGAGGAATATAATTAATAGATTCAATCGTGTGGTCAGTATTACTGAGAAACAAATGGGAACAGCTCATTGGTAGTAGTGCTTTTGATAGAAATCTTGTAGGAAATAACTTTAGGAACTGTCTAAATGTAAGCTCAAATACTTGATTAGTGTAGAATAGAATATTTTTCAGGAACGTTTATAGTTTGTTTTTTTTTTTAAAGATTTTATTTATTTATTTGACAGAGAGAGACACAGCGAGAGAGGGAACGCAAGCAGGGGGAGTGGGAGAGGGAGAAGCAGGCTTCCCGCTGAGCAGGGAGCCCAGTGCGGGGCTCCATCCCAGGACCCTGGGACCATGACCTGAGCCGAAGGCAGACGCGTAACGACTGAGCCACCCAGGCGCCCCCCGTTTATAGTTTCAATTGTTTAATACTTACACACAAAGAAACTCAGTGGTTATGACATCAATTCTTTACCTGATTAAGACAAAGTTAATTTGTCACTTCATTTGTTAGACTTTTTGCTCTTATTGGCTTCAGTGTAGTTTCAGAGAATGAAATTTATGAAGTTCTTTAACAGTTTCTTTTTTAAAAAACTTACTTATTCATGGGTGACTTACAAACAGGAATAAAACAATTTCTCATTTTAGTTCTACAACACAGGTTTTCTGTAAAAGTGACAGGATGTGATTTTTTTCATGCAAGGGAAAAAGGACAAAAAGGACCCGGTTGAGGTCTGGATTTTGTTTTAACTCTTTAGGAGGAGGATGGGTTAGTGAATGTAGGAAGTATGAAATGACAGTTGGGGATAATCTTTGCCATTTAAGAGAAATGATCAGAGTTTATCATTCAGATTTTTTAAACTTTATGACTTCCTCATCAATTAAAGCGTTTTCAGAGCAAAAGCACCAGAAAGATAAATTCAAAGACCCAGGCTTGATTAAAAACTTACATATATTGAGGTCCATACTTGAGCCTTTGAGTCTTCGAAATTATTGATGAATTTTGTCTTGTGCATTTAAAAATTTTCTGTTTGGGCACCTGGGTGGCTCAGTTGGTTAAACGACTGCCTTTGGCTCAGGTCATGATCCTGGAGTCCCGGGATCAAGTCCCGCATCGGGCTCCCTGCTCAGCAGGGAGTCTGCTTTGCCCTCTGACCCTCCCCCCTCTCATGCTCTCTCTATCTCATTCTCTCTCTCAAATAAATAAATAAAATCTTTTAAAAAAAGTTCTTTTTCTGTTCAAAATGGGTCTTCCTGAATAAGCCATCTCTCTAGAATAGTGTTTTCTCAGTACATTAATGTGCTGCCACATTTGAGAACCGCTGGTCTAGGGTTTTTTCCTTTTGTTTCCACTTTTTAACTCTAGTTATTATGATTTTGGTAAAAGGAACAGCAGTTTATAATTGGGTTGTTCTGGGGTACCTGGGTGGCTCATTTGGTTAAGTGTTCTGCCTTGGGTTCAGGTCATGATCCCAGGGTCCTGGGATCGAGCCCCACAGCATTGGGCTGCCTGCTCAGCAAGGGGTCTGCTTCTCCCTCTCCCTCCACCCCTTTCTGCCCCCGCCCCCACTCGTGCTCTCTCTCTCTCTCACTCTGCTCTCTCTCTCAAATAAATAAATAAATAAAATCTTAAAAAATAATAATTGGGTGGTCTTCTATATTAAAATAAGTACCAAATACTTCAATGAAAATTGCCAAGCAGTCTTTAAAGAAATTAAATTTTTTTAGTTCAAAAACAAATTGCTTGATTTTTTTTTTTAATCAATAGAACATGTCTTTGGTGATAAGTTTGGGCAAATCATTTAACATTTCTGGACATTCTTTCTTTCTTATAAAATAAGGTAGCAGAACCCAGGAGTGACTTCCATTTACCTTTCTAAACCCTGTACTATGTAAGAGAAGTGTGATTTATTTTTCTAATTTAAAATTTTTCAGTAATTTTTTCTGCTTAAATGGTATAACATTCTGGTTTTGCACTATGGTATTCATATTCAGCTTATTAAGTTTTTTAGTCCATACTGTCTTGCTGATAATATTTGCTATCTCTGGAGCATTTATCTCAATGCTTTGCTAGGTGATGGGTATTAAACATTCTTGAATCAAATATTTGATTCCAGCTCTCTCTTTTTTATTCTATGATTAAATTTTTTGCCTTAGTCTAAAATGAAAACTTTCCAAAGTTTTATATTGAGGTTTTGGGAAAGATGTGAAAATAGAACTTATTACATAACATGCGTAAGTCTTTTGTTTGCATTTGTTTAGTAGTTCACATATATTATGCATTTGGATTTAGTAGTTCACATAAGTTATCCGATTTGAGCCTCTTAAGGTAGGTATGCATATTATCACAGTTCCCTGGAGAATTAGTTGACATTAGTATAATGTTACCATTATACTGCTCAATTCCATTAATATTTGCGAGATCTGGGGCTTCTTCACTAATTGAAATGAGATCTTAAGCTTGATAGTGAAAATGTGTATGTTGGTCTTTTAATTGCAAAGTCCAGGAACTCATAAATAAACAGTTTTACTGTACTACATTCCTGGAAAGTCAACTATGTAAGAGTAGAATGAGAACCAAAATGCTGAGTTTTAGTCTGTCATTATTCTTCTATCCATAGCCTGTAAGACTTTTATGAAACATACTGTGTTGGGTGGTTTTGACTTTTTTTTTTATTGCAGTATAATTGACATACGATAGTCTAATAGTTTCAGGTGTATAACATAGTATTCAGCATTTGTATACATTGCAAAATAATGACTACAATAAGTCTAGTTACCATTCTGGCTTTTTCAATTAAAAATTCTTTGATGCCTTTTGCTAGTGTCTTCAGACTTGGAGATGCTAAATTTTAAAATTCTGAGCTTTATTTTTATATATTAGAAAACTAAATAATGCCCTTGAATTTTTTTGGTAGAGCACTTATGTGGTATGTCATATTTTATTATACTTAAGAGTTTATATAAATCATAGAATAATGTAGTTTAGCTGCATATTTGAATAGTTAAGATAGATGTGTAGATGTTCATATAGTATATGATCATATTAATGAAGTCTGTTTTTTTTTGTTCAAAGCCGAAACCATAATTTATCCCCTAAATGTGAAAGCTCCTTAGATCTATAGCCTCAGTCTTTGCTCTCTGTATTCTTCCTTTCCACCTAACCCCCAACACTTAAATAATACTTAGTGGAGTGACATTAAGATGGTTTGTGTCATTTCAAATACTTGAATTCTTTAAATTAAAGCACTTAATTGAGTGGCATTTAGCAGTTTTAACAATGTCCAGCATCAAACATTTTAGGAGAGGAAAGAACAGTAACACATCCAGTGGAAACTGATGGCATTTCAGGAGGCAGAAGGTAATTATTAAAATTAGAATGTTTTAAGTTTGAATAAGATTTGATGTTAACCAGCTATGGTGCCCTGGAGCCTGAAGCAAATAATGCTCAGGTGGCTCATGAACACTGACCTGGAAAGATGGGTCAAGGCATTAACTGCCAGTTTGGTGCTTTACCACATTGACCTAGGCTTATGACTGGGGAGGATAGCACCAGAATCCGTTGTAAGATAAAGAAAGAGGAGCCTATGAGCACCATGTCAGAGATCTCTTTTTATATCCTACCACCAGTGTCCGCTGTAAAGGTATTTCTAAAGGTAAAGAAGGTAGTATAAAAACCATCTCTTGCTACATAGTTGAGGCTGCCAAATAGCTAGAAAGTAAAGGATTATTTGGGGTCTTTCCTATAATGCTTAGTAAGCAGAGCAGACTTTGCCATGAAATCAGATAGCTTCACTTTTCATAAAAGACTCAGATAAATGACATACCCTTCTCACAGTAAATTCTTAATTATTTAATTAAGTCCCTTATGGCTATATTTATGGCTTCTTGATAAAAGATTTTAGTATAATTCATCCTATTTGTTTAAAATCTTATCTGTGTTGTAACTTGGTCCTTTTTAAACTATTATTCAAACTCTTTACTATGCTGTTCTTTTTGCCTAAATAATCCAAATTGAAAGTTGTGAGTGGATATTTATTCCATTATGTAGAAAAGAAAATACCCCTTTTAAAAAGCAAGTATCCCTTTAGGATTTTGACTGATTCAAAGGTGAAAAACCTGGTAACTATAAGAATTTCTTGATTTAAGAGGTTGGTATTAAAGGTATTTTCTTGAAATGACCATTTTATTTCTAATATGAAAATCATTTATAATTTAAACGGTAAATTTTTAAGCTGGCAAATAATGAAATATTTCTTTATATACATTTGCAGAAATGTTTCCTAAATTTACTGGAGTAAAACAGAATGATTCTCCTAAAGAACAAGTAAAAGTAAGTTAATTCTTCATTTTCTCCTTAGAATTTTAAAATGTATGCTATGACTCACTGGTATAATAATAAATTCTTTAAAATTTGTTTTGATTTGGGCACCTGGGTGGCTTAGTTGGTTGGGCATCTGCCTTCAGATCAGGTCATGACCCCAGAGTCCCAGGATCGAACCCCTCCACCCCCCGGCTCATCAGAGAATCTGCTTCTCCCTCTCCCTGCTCGTGCTCTCTCACTCACTCTCTCAAATAAATAAAATCTTTAAAAATATATATATTTCTTCCTAAAGGAAATAGAACAGGAACTAGTTGGCTACATTTTTCTAATAAGGTATAACTGTTCTATAAATCATACAGATTAGTAGAACAAATTATAGAAGTTTGGAATTAGTCTTGAGAGTCTAAATACAGAGAGAAGGCCTTGCTTTTCTTATATGCACACAGTAGGATGTAGGCTATGTACAGTAAGGTGGAATTTCTAAAGGTACTAGGAAAATGGTAGTTAGGGTTTAAGATAAAGCTTTTAATTACCAGCTATTAATTTTAGCACCTCTATGATTTGTAGTTGACATGCTTTGAAAAGGATAGAAGTAATTTTACCTGTTGTTACTAATTCAGGTTGTCATTCTCATTAAATTTTTAATCCTCTGTACCCTTCTCAAATACAGAATTATAGGTATATACCTTTATTAAATTACAAACTATTTAACATCATGTAACTAGATTAGTGGTGTACAACATAAATACCTGTCTTGAGGGAGCTCTCAGTTGTGAGAAGAAATAAAATCATATGATTAAGGGGTTGCATGATTAGTGCTATAATCTATATTCATAATTTATTGAGAAAATAAAGAAGGAACATACATACTGCCTGAAGGAGGGAGTGCTTACAACAGGTTTTAAACTACAGGGAAAAGGAAGAAATGGTTAGTACATTGACACAGATTAAGGACTTATTTTTTTATTTTTATTTTTATTTATTATTTTTTTAATATTTATTTAAGCAGGGGGAGTGGCAGGCAGAGGCAGAGGGAGAAGCAGGCTCCCCGCAGAGCAGGGGGAGCCTGATGTGGGACTCCATTCCAGGACCCTAGGATCATGACGTGAGCTGAAGGCAGTTGCTTAACCAACTGAGCCACCCAGGCGCCTGAGGACTTACTTTTTTAAAACAGAGGTAGTAGCACGAAGAGAAGCAAAAAAGCACAGGAGGTGTTCCAGGAAATATGGCAACATAGGGTATTTGTAAGAGATTAGTTGGCTTGGGAAATATAATAGGGAGGGCTTTGAACACTTAGGTGAAGTGGTAACTAATATGGTAGGCAAGAGTGAGTTCTTGAAGGCTTTGAGTAAGAACAAAATACAGATAGTCTGTTGCCATAGGTATTAGAGGAATCAAAATATATCAATGAATTTTGAAAGCATACTCCATACATGGCATATAGAATGCTTTCATAATAATCTGTTTGTGGTGAGAATTTTTTCAGTGTCCCTCACTGAGGAACAAAATGCCCTTTGATAATCAAAGAGAGAAATCTTTTAGGAATATGAATAAATGCATGTATTTGTGTTTCAAAAAGTGATTTTTTGCTGATTTAAACCTCAGCATTTGACTTTAAGTTTTGAGCTTGGGTCTGTATTATTGTTGGGATAAACATTCTTATGGCATTAGTTTTATTCAAGCTAGCATAGATAGGTATTCATTACACTTGCCTGATCTACTCATTCACTCTAACTCCTTTGTTAGATGGAGGAGAAAGACTATCTTACTCATCTCTGTACTATCTACAACTTAAAGCTTAGTAGGTAAGGTACCTGGGCTTTGGTACTATAACTTAGCTTACAACTGAATAGATGTAAGATTCTAGGTAAGTTGCTTTTATTATATCTAAGTCCTGTTGCACACTTCATATGGGGATGATAGTTATACCAAACTCATGAGATTATTGTGAGAATTGAAGAACTATATAAAGGGTTTAGCCTGGTGCCTCACACATGATAAGCATTAAATAAATGTTAGCTATTATAATACAGTTTTTACTTAATAAACTAATCAGAATTTGTTGATAGTCTCACAGGTCAACTATCATATGATTTTTTTTACCCACCCTTCCCATTATACCCATAATTCAGTAATGAAAAGGGGGTAAAAGAAAGTGGATCAGTCCCTAGATTTGGTATAAAAGCTCAGTTTTTATTTTCCATAGCTCACAGGAAAACATTTGAAAATAAGCAGCACTATTTGATAACATGCGTAAGTCTGTATGTATTATTGACTAAGATTATAGGCTTTGGCTAACTCTACTTAAAACTATAGGATGGCCAAGTCACTTAATCTTTCCACATCTTGGTTTTCTCATCTGTAAGAATGGGATAATTATACCTTTTAAGTTTATATGACTCAAGTAATACCATTTTTTGAAGATAGTATTATGTTTTTCCTCTGATGTTTCTATTTTTTTAGTTAAACCTCTTGTGTGGTTAAAACTCTGAAACGCAATTTTATTTATCTTTGTCTTAATAGATACAGTCTTCTGTGCAAGATAAAGCATCTGCAAAAACCACCCTTGTTTGTCAGACTTCATATTCATGTGAAACACTACCAAATCACCACCAGTTACCATTTAATCATCAAGCAGTAGAACATTTACAGAGTGTGAAAAACATTTCACCTTTACAAATTCTGCCTTCCTCAGGTAAAAAAAATGACTGGTAAATAACTAGTAAATTCCAGGTTAGAAATAATCACTGAAGCACATTGTTAGAAATTATCTGCTTTATACCTAAAGGTACTCATTACATTTGTTTTTTTTTAAATTTTATTAGAATTCAGTTAGCCAACATATAATACATCATTAGTTTCAGATAATTCATCAGTTGCGTATAACACCCAGTACTCATCACATCACGTGCCCTCCCTAATGTCCATCACCCAATTACCTCATCCCCCACCCACCTCCCCTCCAGCAACCCTCAGTTTGTTTCCTGTAGTTAAGAAGAGCTCATGGTTTGTCTCCCTCTGATTACTTCCCATTCATTGCATTTGAATAAGAAAATTATATGTGGGGTTCACATGCAACTTACTTTCAGGTAGATTATATACATTGACATAAACCATATATTAAAACCTTTCACTGCCAGAGTCCATACTCAGTTCTGAGCAGATTTGGGAAATGTTGCTCTAATTTCCATGATGCCTATTAGAGTTGGAAAGCTAGGATGGAATATGGAAAAGATAGAGATTTTATAGGTAGAGAAATTAAATTATATACATGAGAAATAGTTTACAGCTAAGGAAACTTGGGCTAGAAATACTTGCCTGGCAGTGGTTCCCACTTACCAAAACATCTTCCAAATCTGGCTAAATTTTTATATTGTTAGATTCATTTGACTAAATATCCTGTCTGTTAGTCTTGTCAGAAGTCTGTCTCATCCTGATTCTCCTGCTGGTGCATGGCACAAAGGATAATTCTCTGATACTGATGAGCCCAGCCTAGGGGTACCTGAACCTTGCGATACTATTCAGGTCTAGCCTAGAGGCAGGTGTGAATATTCCTTACCCATTTCTCCTTCCCTCTAGGCTGCTCACTGGTTTGTATTTGGCCTTCCAATGGCAGGGGTTTCTCCAAAGCAGAAGAAATTTCTAAATTGTTTTACTACAGCACAGATTAGGAAGAACAGAGAAGTTTTGGGCCTCCTTTATTGCTTCCGGTGATAGCTCCCTATTATTCTGTGTTTGAGTATTTCATACTGTATTTAACTCAAGTCTTAGCTCTTCCCAAAGCAACACTGGAGGGCATCCCAAGAATAAAAATAAAGATCCAAAGTATGAAATATTTACATCTGTCCTTTTGTGGAAAAAGGTTTTCAAATTATGCAGGAGCATAACTGAAGATCTAGTAATTCTAGGTCATGAATTACCTTGACTACAAGTGTTCCATTTAGGTCTTTAATTTTGTATACAAGTAGCTTCAAAGAGGAGCATAACAAAATCAGATTTTATGTTAGGAAGTGATTACTGCTTAACTGTAAAGGGGGCAGATTAAGATGAAGATGCTCTGGTACAGTTGGGACCAAGTAAGGAAGCTGAGTGCTGTAGTCTAGGAAAGAAATCATAAGGACCATAACTAAGGCAGTAAGTATGGAAAGGATGTGGCTAAATTAGAAAAATATTTTTGTGGTGCATTTGTTAGGCTTTGTTAGAATGAATGTCTCATCAAGGTATCATCCAATAGTTGGACTGCCATTAAGAGGCAGTGCTCACTTTGGACATGTGTGAGGTACTGGAGTATCTAATTGGAAATAGACAACAATAGAAAACTATAAATAGGTTTCTAGAACTGAGAGGGTATAATGAGAACTATAATTTAGGAATTACCAGTATATAGAAGCTACTTGAAACAGAGAATGAATGAAAACACCCAGGAAAATGTATACAGCAGGAAGAGAAAGGTCAAGGACAAAATTCTAGGAAGCAAAATCCTCAGTAAAAATAGAAAAAATTAAGTTAAAAGATGATGTCATCAAATCACAAGGGTATACAAGTACCACAAGAGTATATATTGCAATGCATTAAAGTAAGATGAGGAGTGAGGAGAGAGGATTAAAATTGGCAGTATGAGATTTTTTGCTTTTGCAAAAGGTTTTTAGTGGCCACTGTGATTGGGCTAGATGCCAGATTTTTGTAAGTTGAGAAGTAATGGAATCTGAATGTAAAACCAGTTTTTCAAGAAGTTTATTGGTGAAGAAGATAGCTGTGGCTTTAACAGGAAGATAGTTTTCTTGAGGGGGGCTGGTGGGGGTTTTTTGGTAAGAGGGGGAGACATTATTTCATTATGTTGGAGTTTTTGAATCAGAGAGATATGGACATTTTTAAAGGTTGCTCAGAAAGAGCCAGAGTTGAGAAAGGTGTTATTTTCATTATAGTAAATTCATAGAAGATTGGTAGGGATAGCCCTGAAGAACTAGACAGTAGAAAACAAAGAATGCAGTCAAGATGGTCTTTTGTTCCTATTTTAAAAAAACATCCTATCTGTGAAAAGTCAGGCTTCAATATCTAAGTCTTCGGTTGCGGTAAGTTTATTGTATTAAATTTTGGTTTATATGTGATTGTGAGTAAAAGGAATTTGTGTGAATATTGTATAAAAAGAATGCTTGGATGATGCCAGAGTGGCTATTCTATTGCACTTACCAAATTTTCCAGAACCAAGTGGTTTGCGTTTGCCAACTGTAGGTGGCACTGTGCCCAAGGGAGACTGCAAATGTGTGTAAACTAACATGTATATAGAAGTTTACTTTTCTGGAGTTTAATCTTGATGGAAATAAACGTTTAGTTAAATCTTTCAAACAATGAAAGATTTTTTCACTTACGTTTCTTAATACAAAAACGTTTGACAAAATGTTAGTACATAAAAGCTTTAAGAAATTGAATTGAGTGTTAACAGTTTTTTCAAAACTATTGCCATCATCTCCGCATGAACTGGAAAATGCCTAATTTTTTCCTTAAAATAAGTTGAAGTTTTAAGTTACAAAGGATTACTAGCCTTATCCTTATAACTTAGCCATTTCCCAAATTCATTTCCCAGATTATAAATCTTCCCTCAGTTATATTAAGGATTTTTAAAAAACAAATGCTTATGCTATCATATGATTGTGAATTAACATGGCAAATGAAAAGATAAATCAAAGAGTTTGCCATCTAGTAGGAGAAATAAACAACTGGTATACAAAATAAAAATAATGTTCCCTAAAAGAATTAAATCAAAATTTAAAGAGGTGAGGAAGGCAAAATTACCTGATCTCTTTGGCAGATGTGTATTTTACAGATTAAGTATCATTTGAGCTGGATATTGGAGGAAGAAGTAAGACTTATCTATGTATATCTAGGACTGAAAGGCATTTTGGATGGAGGAAACAACATGCATGAAGGTATTTAGGCAATCACTAATTGGATGTGATTAAAGCTTTGGTTGGATAAATAGGAATATGGGGGAATGAATTTGGAAAGGTAGACCAGGTTCAGACCATAAAGAACCTTGATATCTATAGACTTTGGACTTAATGATGATGGTATAGTCACTGGGGAGCCAGTGAAGGTTTTTTTTGAGCAAAGGGTATGCTTCAAGGTAATTAATCTGCCAATATTATACAGGCCAGTTGGAAGAATGGGCCGTAAGGACCGGAGAAAGAAGAGACCAACTGGGCTTTTCCAGTAGTAGGGAAAAAAAATGAAGTAATGGAAAAAAAGAAAAGCGAAAGGTTAAAAAAAATGACAAGGGTAGAATGAGAGGGTCTGCAAAAGATGAATATATGCTAGATTTTAATAACAAAGGATTATAAGCTTCAGTGGCTCAGAGAATATGGGCTAGATACTAGTGCAGGTCGAAAAACAGAAGTCTGAGGAAAGAAGTTTTGTAGTGTTTTGCGGTACCAGAGGGTCATCCCCATAAAAATGTTTTCAGAGAGCTGGACCCTTGACATACTTAAGCTTCTGTGACACTCTTTTCTTCACCATCCCATCTCTTTGAATGTTCCTTACAGATATCTCTGTATCTGCCTGTCTTTAAATGCTGAAAATAATCTAAGTTGCATCCTTAAGCCTTTCTCTTTTTACTTTATGGTATTCTAGCCATGTTCCAAAGCCTAGGTTTACTAAGCTAGTAGTGATCCCCTCAACTTTATAGCAGTAGGCTTGTAGGCTTGGAACAGCCTTCCCATTTACCCAGGTCTGCCATACATTGATTATTTTCTACTTATTATAAAGGTTGGATCTGTACATTCTGCCTGAGTGATCTTGGTGTCTGTGACTCCTAGTCTCATTTTTACAAATCAAGCATCCAGGCCCCATGCATATTCATACAACTCTACTGAACATCTTTTCTTAAACATCACATAGGCATGTCAAACACAGCATGCCAAAACTGAATTTCCCTATTTTAATCCCCACATTTTAATCTTTCCTCTTTAATTCTCTTTTGCTTTAGAAAACACTGTTGCTTTATTAACTACCAGCAGGACTGGCCTGCATGTGGCAGTGGACACTGGGCTTGGTATGTGTAGGATGTGAGGAGGAGATGATGACTGGGAGGCTGCTTTGAAGGAAAGGGGTTGTCTTGGAGGCCAGGCTCAAGAGCCCCTCAGATTCACTTCTAGGAATGGGTAGACCTTGTAAAGGAGTCATGGCAAGCTGTGGCCATGCCACCAGTAAGATTAAGAAATTCCTGGAAATCTAGCTGGCCATCAGAGTTGAGGTCCAGTTTTTCCATCATGCAGTGAAGGATGCCAGGGTCCTTCTGGTTCTCTGTGAGGGCAGCCAGTTCTGTGTTCATGAAGATTAGGAACTCTGTCTTGGAGAATGCAGTTATTACCCTCCTATCCAGCACACTTCTGGAAAACAGTAATCAGAAAGTCGATGCACTGCTCAGTCTCAGTAGGGCTGGACATTTTTGTCATGTCTGCATGGAGCAGGCATGGAGGCTGTGACCGGGTGACGGCCATGCTATTCCTCTTTAACTCTTGATAATAGCACTGCACCACTTAGCTCAGCAAACAGAGTCATTTAGAATTTACTTCTCTTGACATACATACTGTTTCTACTTCTTAGATAATATCTGGCCTGAAGCACAAAAGGGATGTAGTTCTTTTTTTTTTTAAGATTTTTATTTATTTATTCATGAGAGACAGAGAGAGAGACAGAGGCAGAGGGAGAAGCAGGCTCCCCGTGGAGCAGGGAGCCCGATGCGGGACTCGATCCCAGGACCTTGGGATCATGACCTGAGCCGAAGGCAGACGCTTAACCGACTGAGCCACCCAGGCGTCCCAAAAGGGATGTAGTTCTAAACTTAAAGCTTAACTCCCTATTTTTCCATTCCTTGTTGAACTGAGAAAACATAAGTACATTGGGCTATGTAGGGACATACAAATTTAATCTTTGTTCTTTCATTCATGCCTCCATTATAGCTTTTCTCTCGCCCTTCTACGCTCACTCCCATCCCTTAATGTTCCTCTCTTCTTCAAGCTTCAACTTCAACTAGTAGGATTTGACCAGAGAATCAGTCAAGGGATTGATGGGTAGTAGAAGTTTAAATCTAAGTTCCTACAATATGTAAGTGGCTAGATTTCTGTGAGCTTGAATCAGTTAATAAAGATAGCAGCTTAGTTTTCATTTGTCTCCTCTGTCCTTTTGCTACTTGTTAGGGCCTGTAGAAAAGAATTAGAATTGAAAGAGAAATGAGCCAAGTAAGTTCATGTATCAGGATGTTCATGGTTGTGTATGACAGAAAAGTCAGTTCAAGATGGCTTGAACGGTATAAGTTATTTTGTTAGCATATACAATCACTAGTCCAAAGGTAGGTCAGTCATTTAGGCATGGTTTGACCAAGGCTTAAGCTCTTTTTCTGTAGTTATCTTTACCAATAATAAATGAAATATTGGTATGAAAGTTTAACAGCTAATAGGATTGCATAGTTTGTTCTTTTCACCCCCGAGTCAAGCCAACCTTTTACATTTTATGCTCTTTTCTCCTCACTAGCTATTGTAGATATTTAATGTCTTAGTTCTTCCATTCTTTGTATTTTGTTTTCAGTTTCACCAAAAAGTATCTTTCCCTAAGAGCCCTGCATTGGCTTAGGCCTGCTCTTTCCTAAATGACTCACTGGTGTTGGGGTAGCCTAATGAAAACCCATCTCTGGAGCTGAGGTCAGTTTGCACAGTAGAGGACTGCTATACCATGGGGACAGATGAAACAGATTTTGGTGGGTGAACCACAGTGTGAACTATCCTTAATGTAGACAAAACAAGAGGACATAAATTTCAAGTGAAAAATGTTTATTTTACAGTATAACAGTTCTTCAACTAAGAATATTCCAAAGTTAAAACAACATAAAAAAATTAATCATTTTGTTTTCATAGTTTCTGACCTGGGGGTGGGGGCAGGATGGGAGAAAAGGTCAAATTATGGACAAACAATATGAATATATTGATTATACTGTTCTAAAAATGTGTGCATCTAGGTGATTCTGAACAACATTTGAACGGCCTAACTGTGACGCATCAGTCTGGTGATAATGACACAGTGGTGTTAGAATCTGAATGTCAAGTACCTGTGCAGAAGGTAAGAGTGATGTTATTTTTTCCTCACAGATCTTGAAGGGATTTAAAATTGAATATGGAGGTGGCACAAGGGGTATTTTAAGGCTTAACCTAAATGAGATTTTGGATCTCTAAGCCTATTTAATAAAGAAATATTTTTTTTGGCCTATTTAAAAAAAAAATGTTACTTGTGAGCAACATCTTCCCTCTCCCTTCTACCATCAGTTCCCATGCTTATGTTTAATTGTAAGTTCTGTAATGCTGGTATGTGCCAGCTATCCTGATTTTAAAGCATGTCATAAAGCTGTCTTCTAGAATTTGTTATGGGGGATTTCCTAATGGAGTCTTTTGTGCACTTACTCTCAAACTACACATTGATCATTCTTTCAACAAATATTATAGATGTTTGGGATGCACTAGATATATCAGGCATTCTTCTAGGCATTTGAGTCATTCTCAGAAACTTACTGTGAAGGAGATGTTTATATATCCTTCCCTTTTCTCTCCCTCCCTTCCTCTCTTCCATCTTCCCTCTCTTCCTTCCTTCCTTTCTTTTTTCCTTGGAAGTACTTCAGAGGACAACTTTTACTATTCCAAAGTGTTTGGGCACACTTAGGAATATGTACCATTTTCACCATAAGGAGCATACTGATTTGGTCCTTGTGTTTTCTTAGAATTTTTAATTTTCTTAGATAATGTACTAATAATTATTGTCATCAAAAATTATGTTGGGGCGCCTGGGTGGCTCAGTTGGTTAAGCTTCGGCTCAGGTCAAGATCCTGGAGTCCCGGGATCGAGTCCCGCATCGGGCTCCCTGCTCAGCAGGGTGTCTGCTTCTCCCTCTGACCCTCTTCCCTCTCGTGCTCTCTGTCTCTCCTTCTCTCTCTCAAATAAATAAATAAGATCTTAAAAAAAAAAAAAATTATGTTGAATTTGGGTATTTTGTTATTCATAAGAATCATATTAAAAAGTGCCTTTTCTGGGGCACCTGGGTGGCTCAGTCGGTTAAGCATCTGCCTAGGACTCAGGTCATGATCCCAGCATCCTGGGATTAAGTCCCGCGTCGGGCTCCCTGCTCAGCGGGGAGTCTGCTTCTCCCTCTGCCTCTGTTCCCCCACTTGTGCTCTTGTGTGCACTTTTCTCTGTTTCTCTTTCAAATAAATAAAATCTTTTTAAAAAGTGTTTTTTTCTGATATCCAACATTAATTTTTTATTTTACCGGTTTTTGCTTTAATAACAAAAGTGTTGCCCATCTCCTTTACGATGGAAAGAATAGTGCCACAGAATTTCTTAAATATTTGGCTTTAACTATAATCTTTGTTTCTAACTTATCAAGACTCTTTGTAATTTTGACTGACCCAAAATAAAGTTTGAAAAGAATAAGAAAATTTCCAAAAGGGTAAAATAAGCAGCAAAACATCTAGTATATGTCATACTGTTGCAGTTTGTGCCATAGGTAAAAGTGACATGTCTACTTTGTTTATTTCTAATGCCTAGCATGTAGCAGAAACTAAAATGTTGAAATGAAAGCTTAAGAAGGAGTAGGACTGTGTGGCTTGTTCTCTTCACAACAGTTTCCATTCTTAATATTTCCCACCATTGCTCCCTCACTAGCAGCAGTGTTACCTCCTATTGAGAAGAGAGGTTATGGAATATCAGTGCTAGAAGAGATTTTTGAGTATTAGTCTATGTGCATAAACTAGAGCTCAGGTGGTTCAAGTATCTTGCCCAAATAAGAGCTGGGACTAAAACAAAAAATTTGAACAAACATTCAACGCCTTGTCTTTTTACTAAGAAACCCTGGCTTTGCCATTCTTCTCTTCAGCCTCAGGAAAAGATCTCTCTTATTACCAAAACAAACTCATCTCTGTTCTTAGTTCTCTTGTATTCAGCAGATTTATTGTGGAGGTCTCCTGCCATCTCTGTGGTCTCTGTTATTCCTTTTTGTCTTAATTTCCCACTACCCATTTACATCTTAAACCAGGGTTTCTCTGGTTTAGCACTATTAACATTTTGGGCTTGGATAAGTCTGTGTCAGGGGTAGGGCTGCGCATTGTAAACTGCTGAACAGGACCCTTAACCTCTCCCCCACTGGATGCTAGTAGCACCCTTTCTCCCACCCCCATGTGACAACCAAAAGCATCTAGGTATGTCTTCCCTGGGCCTAGGGGAATCACCCCCAGGGGAGAACCAGTGCCTCAGTTGTGCCTAGCATCTAGCTTCTCCTCTATCTCTGTTGTTGGCCCTGTCAGAGGAACCAATGACCGCTAAAATGGTTGCATCCTTCCCAAAGTCTTGATGGGGGAGAAACCAGGATGTTCTACTACTTCTTTATCTGACTGAACATTTACTATGGTGATTTCAGTTTTGGTCTCTCTGCAAATGACTCAAATATGTATGTCTAGTCCTGGCCTCCTATAATTCTTAAATATTTTTGATGACTTCTCCGTGTCCTGCAGCCAAGGAGTTGCTATGTTCTTTGAGTTTTACTTCCAATATGTCTTCTTCTCTATTTCCACCTCATAAACCAGTACTTACTGCCTTTAATCTGAGCTCTTTTTAACATTTAACTGGTCCGACTTGAGACCCTCCTATTCTTTTTTTTTTTTTTTTTTTTTTAAGATTTTATTTATTTTGGGCTCCTGGGTGGCTCAGTTGGTTAAGCGACTGCCTTCGGCTCAGGTCATGATCCTGGAGTCCCGGGATCGAGTCCCACATTGGGCTCCCTGCTCAGCAGGGAGTCTGCTTCTCCTTCTGACCCTCCCCCTTCTCATGCTCTCTCTCTATCTCATTCTCTCTCTCAAATAAATAAATAAAATCTTTAAAAAAAAAAAAGATTTTATTTATTTTTTCACAGAGATAGACACAGTGAGAGAGGGAACACAAGCAGGGGGTGTGGGAGAGGGAGAAGCAGGCTTCCCGTGGAGAAGGGAGCCCAGTGTGGGGCTCAGTCCGAGGACCCTGGGATCATGACCTGAGCAGAAGGCAGACGCTTAATGACTGAGCCACCCAGGCACCCCGAGACCCTCCTTATTCTGATCCATTCCACTTTAAGCATTCTTATGTTCCTCTTGATGTGTTCCTCTGATGATTTTACTCATCTGTATGAAACCGCCACTGGTTTCTAAATTTGACTACAGAATGAACATTAAACACCTTTATATTATATGACCCCAAACTAGCTTTTCAGTCTTAACTAGATGCCTTGTAACTAATTGCAACTGAACTATTCATTTCTCCCCAGATACACTAGTAATACCTTTAATTATATTCATTCTTCAATGAGGAATACTTGCCATTCTCATCTCCACCTTTCTAGTCTTCTTATTCTTTGTGATACCTGAAAAACTGTCCTATACTCCAAACCCACATATGAAGTTTACTATCTTAGAATCTGCCAAAATTTCACTGCAATTAAGTAGAAATTTTAGGCACAAAGCTAGTGACCAGTTTTCATCCTTCCTTTATTCCCCATTTAATATACTGTCAGGTATTACCATGGTTGTTTCAGACCTCTATCTGAAGATGAGATGCTTTAAATGGCTGAGTAGTCATATGAATTCTGCAACTGGTATTTAGCCTATTCCATGAGTAAGAACAAAATAGGTTTTATTGGTAATATATTAGCTGACCACTAGGTGATGTCTGACTCCTTTTAATACTTCGGGACAGAAGTTAAAGACCCATGAGTGTATCTAGTCATAAATTTTCTTATGCTTTATCTGGGACCCTTGACAAATTTTTCCCTAATATTTCATGGAAATATATGAAAAGAGCAATTAAGCATACTTATTAAGGAGAAAATTATCAAAAAAAAATTTCAACAGAGGATGTTTAGGTATTGTATAATCCTCTTCTTTCCTTACACAGATAGGCAGGTTAACTTTTTTTTTAATTGAGATATAATTAACATACAACATGTTAGTTTTCAGATGTACAACATAATGATTCAGTATCTATATATAATGATTCAATATTTGTATTGTGAAATGATCACCACGATAAGTCTAGTGCCAAACAGTTACAAATTGTCTTTCTTGCAATGCAGACTTTTAAGGTCTATTCTGTTAGCAACTTTCAAATATAATTCAGTATTATTAACTATAGTCACCATGCTATACATTACCCCTGCGGGACTTATTTATTTTATAACTGAAGTTTGTACCTTTTGACGCACTTCACCCAATTTCCCCACTCCTCACCACCCTCCTCTGGCAGCCACGAATCTGTTCTGAGTTTGGTTTCGTTTGTTTGTTTAGATTCCACATATAAGTGGAAATCACACGTTATTTATCTTTCTGTTTGATTTATTTCACTTAGCATAATGCCTTCAAAGTCAACCCATGTTGTTACAAGTGGCAAGATTTCCTTCTTTTTTATGCTATTTTTAATTTAACTTTTTGAGGAACTTCCATACTGTTTTCAGTAGTAGACATACCAGTTTATACTCCCATCAATAGTATGCAAGGATTCCCTTTTCTCTACGTCCTTACCAACACTTGTTATCTCTTGTCTTCTTGATGATAGCCATTCTGACAGGTGTGAGGTGATACCTCATTGTGGTTTGTATTTTTCTGGTGACTAGTGATGTTGAGCACCTTTTCATGGACCTGTTGTCCATTTGTATATTTTCTTTGGAAAAATGTTCAGATCCTCTGCCTATTTTTTAAACAGATTGGTTTTGTTTGTTTGTTTGTTTGTTTGTTTAGCTATTGAGTTGTATGAGTTCTTTATGCAAGATTGTATTTTGGATATTAACCTATTATCAGATACATGATTTGCAAATATTTTCTCCAGGAGGCGACCTTTATGTTGTTTTCCTTTGTTATACAGAAGCATGTGGCTGTCCAGTTTTCCCAACACCATTTTTTGAAGAGACTGTCCTTTGCCCATTCTATACTCCTCACTCCTTTGTTGTACATTAATGGACCAAATTTGTGTGATTTTATTTCTGGGCTCTATTCTGTTCTAGTGAACTATGTATCTATTTTTAGATCAATACCATACTATTGTTATTACTGT